CAAAAAATTTCATACAAAGTTGGCATTTAATCTAAAATGCAGTTCAATTTTGAATTTTTAAAGCATTTTAAAATTTCATAGTTATGCTCAAGAGCTCTCCTTAACTACATGTAGTATTTTTGCAGCAGACCAGCAACCACCCTACATATTTTAAATGCAAATGTGGGTGTTTGAAATGTAAATTTGACTTGGAAGAAGGATGGCTTAGAAGCCCTTGAGGACAGCAAACCAGGGGCTTGAGGATGGCTGGGCTGGAGGGTGGAGAAAAGGCAGCACTTTGAGAGAGGCCAAAGCTGCCAGCACACAGGTAAGGTAAGGAAGGTAAACGACCAGGCAGGGGCCAGTGGGGAGGAAGGAAAATGGAGACCTGCAGTGAGAGAGCACAAAACCAACACAGTGACCAGGGAAGGCCGAGACTGCAGTGTAGTTTGAATCAAGAGTTGCCAAGAAATAACCAGGAGGACCAGTTCTGGCTGAACTGGGACACGGCCTAGAGATTCCAAAGGGGTAGAAAACTGCTGTTTGAAGTAACAGGATGGAAGCAGCTCTGGCTTACTGAGACTTGAAGAGAAGCCGTGAGAGAAAGAAGACGTGTCCTAAGCAGGAGCCAGACTCACGGCCTACTAAATTATAGTCTTCTCTAGTGCTCGCCTGTGAATCATTTATGCACCGTTTCTTTTAGGGTACTTTATATGCAATGACTGAAAGGAACCTAGAAGCCTAGGGACCCAAATGGCTGAACAAACAACATTGCTGATTACCTGTTATGGAGAAAAGAGCAAAAGAAGACAGGAAAACTAGAGAAAGAGGGAGGCTCACTGTTTGAATACTCCACTGAGTCTACTTTATTAGAAACTTCATCATATGGAAATGACAACATACACTATTGTGATGGATAGTTTGGGTATCAACTTGACTGAACTGAGAACCACCTTGAGAAAGCATCACACTGGGTGTGTTTGTGGGGGTGTTTCCAGAAGGGATTAACAAGCAAGTCTGAGTAGCTACAGGCTAAAAATCTACCCTCATTGTGGGCAGGCATGTTTCACTCAACAGGGCCTTGGATAGAATAAATATAGGATGAGTGGATGAATGAATGAATTGGTCTCTTCTGAGACTGAGCAAGACAGATTTCTGTTGCTTTGGAAATCAGAACTCAAGGCTTGTCATTGACTTGTTTACCTGAGGCCTTTGAACTTGGACTGAGCCATGCTATCAGCATCCTAGGATCTCCAGCTTATAGGTGGCCTGGTGTGGGACTTCTCAGCTGCTATAATTGTGTGAACTGATTCTCCCAACAAATCTAATCTTATCTAGCTATATAAACCTATTAGTTCTGTCTTCCTAGAGAACTCTGACTAATACAACTATTATCCATAAATTTCTCTCCTATCTGGAGATGACCTACTTTACCTAATTCAATGGAAGCCATTGTAGGAAAATCAAAATACCTCAAAACCAGAAGAGTACTTAGATGTCAGAGAAAAAAGAAAGAAGCCGTGGAAACTGGCCCAATTACACCTGAGGCGGTGACCTTGGCAGTGAACTCCCAAGCAGGACTCTTACTTAAGGAAAGCCATGGGGCTGTGCAAAGAACCTTTCTTGGTGGTGGTAGAATTTTTTTCTCTTCAATTAAGTCAGATATTAATTTAATGTTAACATAGGCTAATAAATAATTTCGTTAAAAATGGAAATATATCGGGACCAGCAGTTAGTGTAATGGCTATGTCACTGGACTCCCACGTAGTCAACCGCGGTTCGTGTCCCGGACCCGGTGGCTTAAAACTCATGCTGGGCACGTGTGCGTGCGTGCCCAAGATCCCGAGAGGAGAATGGGGGAGAAGGGATTGCGGCGTAGCCATCCCCTCTGGGGGGTGATTTCTCACTTTCTGCCTCTCTGTCTCTGTCTGGCGAGTGCATACACCCTATAACAAAAACCTCTCAAAAAAAAAAAAACAAAAAAAAAGAAAGAAAGAAAAAAAATGGAAATATATCTAAGATGGGTAAAAAGTTACATACATTTACGTCCATGAGTTTCATGCAGGGTATTATTCAAATATTTAACAACAGTATAGCATGGCATTAGCCAATGTTGAGTTGAAGTGGAGACATAGAGGCTCCATATGATCTCAGATCATGGGAAGGACTAGAAAGCCCTAGTGGTGGGGCAATGGAGTACTGAAGAGATAGAGCAACAGCTATTTATCAAGTGTACCAAAATATTTCAATATTTTAATGATCAAGTGCACTTATACTGGTATATGCTGAGAGAATACTAGCCCTGATTCCATATTGGTTTGTTTGTTTTTTAAATCCCAATTGGATTATATGGCAGAAAAAGAATTCTGATGAAGAGAAGGAAGGAGTGCAATTCTGACAGGCAATGAGCACCAAGGATAAAGGAGGAAGATGACATCAAAACTAATACAAAGTTTTTAAGAAAGATTGTTTTTCTCATTCTTCTCTTTCTCTTCCTAACCATAGGTTTCCTTATCCCCAAGACTCATGATCATAATAATATTAGCCTCTAGGTCAAGTCATAGAAAACTGATTTGCTAAAAGCATAGATAAGTGACTTACTTGTTCAGAACCAACATGCTAAAAGTCAATTCACCTGAAACCCAGGTCAGTGAAGATTAATTTGCCGAATTTGCCAAACTCATTGGTTTTCTAAAAATCACTTCTAGGGTTCACAGGATTCTGAATGTAACTAACGGACAGGCAGAGTTAAACTATGGGGAGCTAGGCTGGACCTCCAGACTTCCTTCCTGCCCTCAGTTTATCCTCTCTTGCTCTAAAGGCTTACTCTCTGCTTATCTGTCTCCTCTTTTGAGCTGCTCGGCCTTCCTTTCCCCTTCTCTGGGGTTGCCAGGTTGGGCTGAGTTATACGTCGACTGACTAACATACACAATCTTCAGGAAGCTAGGACAGCGATGAAATGAACATTCCTTAAAATGCTGACATGACAGAAATAGCCACAAGCTGTTAAAAACCATCTAATTAGAACTGCAATAAACTTTTTAGTGAAATAAGTTTTTAAAGACAATTGGCAAGTTTGGTTAATTTGGCAAAGTTTAACTGACAGAACTGGAAGTATCCTAAAAATACTATATGCTGGAAATTTTTTTGAAAAGGCTTTTAAAAAGGATCAGAAAGAAATCAGTATAAATAGAAAAATTCCCATAGGAAACGCTAAAATTCTGTCAACATTCAGAAGAAAAATATGTTCATCACTAGACTAAACTTCCTGAGGCTCTTTTAACAAACTGAACATTTCTTAAAATGCATAAGGCTGGAGGCTGGAAAGACAGAGTGGTGAGGGTGTGCTGGGTTCAGAAAGCAAGACCTGGAAGACTGGCTGAATTGAAGAAACACCTCAGAACAAAGCTCTCTCTCTGACCTTTCTGCTGCCCCCATTTCCAGATCATCTTTGAGCCTGTTTTTTCTCCCCAAGTACAGGAAAGGGCTTTGCTCTGATACCCCATTAACTACTTACAGAATAAACCCACCGAAGAGTAAAACAAACACCTCTGGACTCCTCCCTGAGGTTTCATTAGCTATTGGGTCTTCTGGAAAGTCAGGACACATTTTTCCATAGAAAAACAGAAAAACACATCATGACTTCTCCAATACTCAGTAAACTGATATCACAGGAAGAAGTCTTAGGAAAGCACACCTGGAGAGATTTTATCACAAGCTATTGTTCACCTCCCACACCCATTCGATTCCCAAATAGAATCATTTACTCACCATTATCTGAGCATTGGCCTCATTCTTTCTCCCTAAAAATAATTTATTTTAAAGTTGTCTGCACCCCAATTTTCTTCTCCCCTGTGAAGAGGGTATTTGAGTTTCAACCCCCTGCCCCCTCTTTGAGTTCATATTTTGTATAACTTCTGTATACACACAAATACATATATTAAGTAAAACTTGTATGCTTTTCCCTTATTAATCTGCCTATTGTCAGTGAACCTTCAAAGAATGGATATTCCTTTGCTTGTACACAGGCATGCTCACCTAAACTCAATTGTATGCTTGCCAAACAACAAACAAGTAAATAAAAACAAGGAAAAACAAATCTAAACAAAGGATCCCTACCTCAGAAGGTCACAATTTATATAATACAGTACATGTATAAAAAAAAATCTGTGCGAGATAACACTAAACTATGAGAGAAGCACACTTAAGTCAAGAAAGTAAGATTTGGCTAGTGATTTTTTAAAAACTTTGTATACAGATACAATTTTCTTCAAACAAACTTTTAAAAAACAACAGGTACATATGTGTGTGTGAGAATGTACTTCAATTTTTTTTTTTTTTTTAAAGTTTTTGCCACAGGGCAATATTACCTTACTGGAGAGACACAGAGGGAGACAGTGAGAAATCCTGTTCAGGGGGGGGTGGCCATACGCTATTCTTTCTCATCCATTCTCCTCTTGAGATTTTGAGCGTACATACACATGTGCCCAGAGTGATTTGGGACATGCATGCACACATGCCCAGTGTGATTTTCAAGCTGCTGGTTCTGGGACTCGAACCATGGTCAGTCGTGTGTGAGTCCAGTGCCTTAACCATCACAACCTACTGGCCTACTTAAACACCAACCACCTACTGGCCTCCAAAAGTCTTACATTTTAATATAGTCAAATATCTTAATTTTTCCCCTTACTCTTTGTATTCTTTGAGGAAAATTTAAGATATTATTCTCCAACCTCAAGGTCATAAAGATAGCCTTCCATAATTTCTTCTGATGGCTGGATTATATGCAGTTTATTTATCTAAGGAGCTAAACAGTAAGTTCTCAAAGTATTGGAAAATAGTAGCCAATGCAGTAGCCTCCTTCTATCAATGTTAAAACCTCTAACTTTTCAGCTTTATGTAAGCTTCTGTTCGACTGTATGAATAATTGAGAGTTGCTATTTAAAACAATGTATGCTAAAGTTAAAGTTTTAGGATATTAAAAAAAAGAAAAGAGTAAAGAATAAGTTCTATAATCTTACGTGAGTGAACAAAACTTCCTTCCTTAGTTCTTCAGAATTGTCATTTGGAGTCCAAGCTTCCGCAAACTGCAGGAAATCCCATTTTTCCTTATCATCTTCCTCTGCCTGAATTTTTTCCTTCCTACCATTCAGTGTGCTCCCTGTAACCTGAGCCTGTAAGATGGAAAAGCACATGAATTTCACAACTGTTCACCTCACATTTGACATTAACTAAGTGGTAACTTGATTTGGCATTTAAATGACAAGCTATCCACTAAATCTTATCCTCCTGAGATATCATAGGCTTTAGTAATATAATTATTCAAAATTACAACCAAACTACCAAGTCAATGATTGCTATGTTTAATGAGAAAAAGATCTAAAGATCTAACTAGAGAAATTATACTAGTTTCTTTTCTCATAAAACTTTTATTCTGATATTTACATGTATTTATATTAAAACTTATATGTATATTAAAATTTAACCTACATATGAACGGGCACTTTGAATACCTGTACTGAGTACTTGAAAAACACTGCTACAGTCTGAATGATTGTGTTCTGTTCCCAAATTTATTATATTAAATTCCTAACTCTCAATGTAATGGTATTAGAAGATGGGAAAATTAGGAGGCGATTAGGTCATGAAGGTGGAACCCTCATGAATGGTATTGGGACTTTGGACCTTAGACTTTAGAATTAATAGACATGAATTTTTGGAGCCTGGGGTGGAATGCAATGGACTGAATGTCTCCCCAAAATTCCTGTGTTGAAATCTTAACATTATGGTCCTTGCTAGCTGACCCTATCCTTCTATCATTTAAAGTAGTTGAGGAAGGGATTGGAAGATAACAGAAATACATGGACCCACTCATGCCTCTCTTACAGTAGAGTTTAACAGGCAGGGTACTACTAATTGAAGCCTTTTGTGAACGTGTTCTCTATTATCTATCGATCAGCATTACCTCAGTATATGTACGTAAGTATTATTAACAGTTGTTAAACCCTGAATCAGCCTCCTAACTCATACAAGCAATGTATCACGGTAAGTAAGTTGGTAACTTGGTTTAAATTCAAGCTTTACCTTGCGATTCAACATTCCCCACATAAGGGTGTCTAGAGTCCCATTGGCAATGAGATAGTGAATATTCACAGAACTGCACTGTCCAATTCGGTGAGCACGGTCTTCTGCTTGTTTTATATGTCCAGGGTCCCAGTACAATTCAGCAAATACGACATGACTTGCGGCCGTAAATGTTAAACCCTAAGCAAAATCAAGAAATTAAGATGCAAATAAATTGGGAATGTAATACAAAGACATATGTGATAAAGTCTTTCTGAACATGTTAAAGGGAGAAGAGAACACTGGAGCACTTAAAAACAAACCATTCATTCATTTGAAGCTAAATTAAAATCATTTGCTCATAAAATGCAGATGATGACTTCTTACTGCAAGATAGCCAGGTAAGCTACAAAAAATATATGTGAAAGATATTTTAAAGGTCAGCTTGCTGGATATATATATATATATATATATATATATAACAAAATCACTTTATAAAACTTTTATTCTGATATTTACATGTATTTATATTAAAACTTATATGTATATTAAAATTTAACCTACATATGAACGGGCACTTTGAATACCTGTACTGAGTACTTGAAAAACACTGCTACAGTCTGAATGATTGTGTTCTGTTCCCAAATTTATTATATTAAATTCCTAACTCTCAATGTAATGGTATTAGAAGATGGGAAAATTAGGAGGCGATTAGGTCATGAAGGTGGAACCCTCATGAATGGTATTGGGACTTTGGACCTTAGACTTTAGAATTAATAGACATGAATTTTTGGAGCCTGGGGTGGAATGCAATGGACTGAATGTCTCCCCAAAATTCCTGTGTTGAAATCTTAACATTATGGTCCTTGCTAGCTGACCCTATCCTTCTATCATTTAAAGTAGTTGAGGAAGGGATTGGAAGATAACAGAAATACATGGACCCACTCATGCCTCTCTTACAGTAGAGTTTAACAGGCAGGGTACTACTAATTGAAGCCTTTTGTGAACGTGTTCTCTATTATCTATCGATCAGCATTACCTCAGTATATGTACGTAAGTATTATTAACAGTTGTTAAACCCTGAATCAGCCTCCTAACTCATACAAGCAATGTATCACGGTAAGTAAGTTGGTAACTTGGTTTAAATTCAAGCTTTACCTTGCGATTCAACATTCCCCACATAAGGGTGTCTAGAGTCCCATTGGCAATGAGATAGTGAATATTCACAGAACTGCACTGTCCAATTCGGTGAGCACGGTCTTCTGCTTGTTTTATATGTCCAGGGTCCCAGTACAATTCAGCAAATACGACATGACTTGCGGCCGTAAATGTTAAACCCTAAGCAAAATCAAGAAATTAAGATGCAAATAAATTGGGAATGTAATACAAAGACATATGTGATAAAGTCTTTCTGAACATGTTAAAGGGAGAAGAGAACACTGGAGCACTTAAAAACAAACCATTCATTCATTTGAAGCTAAATTAAAATCATTTGCTCATAAAATGCAGATGATGACTTCTTACTGCAAGATAGCCAGGTAAGCTACAAAAAATATATGTGAAAGATATTTTAAAGGTCAGCTTGCTGGATATATATATATATATATATATATAAAACAAAATCACTTTATTCTCTGATTAAGACTGAATTGACATTAGTAGTGGAAGATCTAATAAAATACATTATAAACAAGAATATAAATTCTAACACATGGTAACCATAGCAACTAGGCAGAAAGCATTAACATCCTCTTCATTTAATTCATACTGCTGTGCGACAAAGCAAGAAAATCATGTCTCCAGTCACATTGCTTTCTTCCAGTAAATTTCTCACATGACATCCTGAAGACCCTGAACTTTAATTCCTATGACTCAATATATATAATGCAACTGCATTTTATATAATTTTATAATATTGTAATTTAAAATATTGGTTATGTTTTGTTAGACTAAAAAAACGTTAAATCTACATAACTTTAAACTTGGTAGACTGAATGAAATGTAACATGCTCATGCTACTGCTGCATATTAGCAAATGATGCTGGGTGGTTAGCAGAGATCCTGTCCATCCACTGGGAGAATCAGCCAATCCATGCTGCTGTTCAGATGCACTAGAACTTCTGACAGTGAGTGATGTTTATGACTGCTATCTATGTATTATTTTGACATGTTATTGTAACTTAAGATATTTTCATACCACAGAACAAAGTCACATTAACATTCATTAAATGACAGTATTCATTCTCAAGCTGAAAAATTTACTGAAAATCAGTCACTTTAGAAAAGAAGTTAGAAGTAATAAAAAAGTGGATAGAGTAAACCATGATGCTAAATCATGCCACTATTTAGGACCAAAAATTGCCACAAAATATTAGAGATAATACTATGAAAATAAGAAGTAGGTTTTTTTTGGTTTTGCTTTTAGTTTGCTATAGGGTGTGTGTATTCAGAGAGATAAAGACAGAGGGAGAGAAAGGGAAAGTGAGAAATCATCCCCCAGAGGGGATGGCCACACTTAAATCCCTTCTCCTCCATTCTCCCCCTGGAACTTTGAACATAAACACACAAGTGCCTGGAGTGATTTTCAAGCTGCCGGGTCTGGGAATCGAACTGCCGTTGACCATATGGGGACTCTAGCACCTTAACCACCATGCCACCTGCTGGGCCTGAGGAAGTAGAATTTGAAGAGACAATGCTAGGCTTATAAGAAGCATCATATGGGGGCTGGCTGAACTCCCACATGGCCAACTGTGGTTCAAATCCTGGGCCTAGTGGCTTGCTTTCTTATTTTCCCTCTCTCCCTCTGCCTCTCTCTGGTCAAATAAAAATATGTAAATAAATGAAGTTAAATAAAATAATTCTTTAAAAAAAAAAAAAAAAACAGAAGCATCATATGACCACACAAGCATAAAGGAAAATATGCTGGCAAGATCAAAATCATTTGGGCCAGCCAGTGGTCGGGAGGTTAAGGCAGCTGGAACACACATGGCTGACTATGCAGTTTGAGTCCTAGACCAGCAGCTTGAAAAACACACTGAGTATGTGTACATGTGTGCCCAAAATCCCAAAAGGAGAGAGAAATGAAGGAGAAGGGATTGTGGTATGACCATGCCCCACAGTGCGTGTGGGTCTTACTGGCTTTCTTTTCTTTGTCTCTCTCTCTCTATCTCTGGTGAGTGTACACATTCTCTGGCAAAGTTAAAAAGATCAGCATCATTCTAAAGAGCCACTAAACTATAATGCATGACTCACAACACCAAGAACAAAGCCCTTTCTACTTTCCTTTATTCCTATAAAGACATTAGTCTCCAAGTATATGAATGTTAAATTAGACAAGGTCTTCAGAAATACAGCTCTGAATAAAATGAGAGGTCTTAATTTCAAAAAGGTTTTTAAAATTTTTAAATTTATTTTTAAATTTCAAAAATCCCAGACTACACTGTCAGGCTTTCTCGGACTAATCACCTTCCCTGCTAATGAGTACTTTCTAATGTTAAGTTTTTGGTGATCTTCTCTATGGCTGGAATATTCTAACAGATTATCAGAAGTTTAATCCAATATGAGAGAAGTGTTGAGACAACCCTCCTTTTGGTTGGAACTCCTAGTGTGTTCTAGAACTGCTCCATCCTCACCAGTTTCTCTTGCTCTATAACTTTACTTACACCACTCAGCTGAGTAAAAGCAGGTCTGTGGCATATTCCAGGCCAAGATGCACAGCAGCGTACTCAACTATTTTTCCCTATGTTAAATATCCTGCTGTAGAGATTTACATCACAGTATTTTACACTCTTAACAGAAAAGAAGTCTAGAAAGACTTATATACAAAAAGTTTTCAAAGAATTCATAGAAAATGTGTTTTAAGAAAAACTATGCATGGATTTCAAAATTTGTGCACCAAAATAAACTCATATTCTAATTCTGTGTTTCCCACAAATTTTTTGAAGCCCCCGTCATACAATGGAAGAGACTGCCATTGCTTTCTGTAATATCTATCCTTCTCTTTTCTTTTTTATTTTTAAGAGAGATATTTTTGCTAGAAGGCATATGCCCTTGCCAGAGAGACAGAAAATGAGAAATCACCCCCCGCCCAGGGGTCTGGCTATGTCACAATCCCTTCTCCTCCATTCTCCTTTTGCGATTTTGGGCACACATACACATGCACCTGGCATGAGTTTTAAGCTGCTGAGTCCAGGACTTGAACAGTGGTTGACTACGTGGGAGTCCAGTGACGTAACCAGGATGCCATCTGCTGATCCCGTCTTCTCTTATTTCTTCGTAACATTTACCTGACTTTCGGCTGGTTGTTGGAGTTGCCATCTGGAATAAAGGATACTTTCCCAGCTTCCTTTGAAGTTAGGTGTGGCTGTGGGGCTGACTATAGGCCATCAAGCTGCAGCATGCCTTTCTCCAGTCAGCCACTTGGACTGCAGAGATGATGGAGTACCTCCAAGAGCCCGCCAAGATCAGAGATACTTGCTAGAAGTGCTAAGGCAGAAAGCCAGAATGGCCATGGGGTCTAAGGACTTCATGGAACTATAGTGCTAGGCTTAGACTATATACATGTCAGGAAAAGTCACTTTACAAGCTAAGTAATGTACAGTGATTGAATGTATAAAAGAAACTAAAATAAAATATATTAAATTAAAAAAAGAAAAGAAAACTTGGACACTGAATTCTCATTTTTAAAAAAAATTTTATCAGAGGGCATGGATGCTCACAGGAGACAGAGAGAGAAAATGAGGAAGTACCCCCACCACAATCCCTTCTCCATTTCTTCCTCCTTTTGGGATTCTGAGCATATACACATATGTGCCACCATATTTTTCAAGCTGCTGGATCCAGGACTTGAACTATATAGTTGCCCATGCATAATCCAGCTGCTTTAACCACCATGCCACTGGTTTTCTCAGAAGTCACTCTTAATCTGAGTTTTCATTTATTTGCAACCACACATAATCCTAAGGGGACAAACCAGAAGTACTCCACAAAAAGTTCTGAGAACAAAGAGTTCTCTACTCTCAGGACACTTTACCTTGCAGACCCTGATGAAACACAGCTAAGTAATCATAACTGTTATAAGAAAGGTATGAGAGGAATCAGCAGGTGACGGGGTGGTTAAGGGCACTAGACTCCCACATGGCCGACTGTGGTTCGAGTCCTGGACCCAGTGGCTTGCTTTCTCACTTTCCCTCTCTCTCTCTCTCACTCTGTCTCTCTCTGATCAAATTAAAATAAAGAAAGAAAGTCAAATAAAATAATTCTTAAAAAATTTTAAAAAGGGGGGACCAGCAGTTAGTGTAATGGCTATGTCACTGGACTCCCATGTAGTCGACCGTGGTTCGCGTCCCAGACCCAGTGGCTTAAAACTCACGCCAGGCGCATGTGCGTGTGTGCGTGCATGCCCAAGATCCTGAGAGGTGAATGGAGGAGTAGAGATTGCAACGTGGCCATCCCCTCTTGGGGGTAATTTCTCACTTTCTGTCTCTCTGTCTCTCTCTGGCGAGTGCACACGCCCTATAGCAAAAACCTCTCAAAAAATAATAAAAATATAAAAATTTAAAAAAATTTAAAAAGAAAAAAGAGAAAGGTATGAGAAAATTCTATGCAAATGCAAAGGAAGGAAAAAAGGCCATGGAAAAGTATTACAGTGAAATTAACCATGCTCCTTTTGGAATTTGTTTCTTTGAAAATTCAGGAAGACCAAGGTCAAAGATGTTGAGGCCTCTTCCTATTTCACCCCAACACTCTCTGAAATGGAATGAATATTAATATTTCTAACACCAGATATCCAGAAATAAAGTTACAAGCTAACTAACCAAAGTTACGGGTTAATATCTTTTTATTAGCTCCACAATATTTCATGATTGAATTTAGACCCAAAATTTCTTACCTGGCCAGCAGCCTGAATGCTTAGGATAGCCACACGGGTATCAGGATCCTTTTGAAACTGATTAACAAGATGTATTCTTTCTGAGGAAGGCACACTTCCATCTATCCTAATGTAACGAGTCTAGCATCAACAAGAGAAATGACAAAATTAGGATGAGCTGCTGTATACCATGTCAGTTTATATATTTTGTAGATTTTTTTGGCTTTAAGAGACAAGATCTTGCTATGTTGCCCATGTGGCCTTGAATTCATGATTCTCTGTCTCAGTCTCCTGAGTAGCTGGGATGACAGGTATGTGCCATCAGGCCTCGCTATGCTTACTCTCTGGGTCAAGTGACAAAATATAAATTGGTTAAGGTGACAGGTTAGCAAAAGTTATACAAGAAAAAAATTAACCAAGTTTCTTAAAAGCTTCTTATACTATAACATTTTATTTTTTTAATCTTCTAAACTAGTTGATGGGAGGGTCCATGTCTAATTCATCTTTATTCCATCAATGCCAAAGACAATGCCTTGTATATAGCAGGAGTTTCACAAATCACTTTTGAATTAACCTAACATTTTCGATAAAATTTTGTGTAAATTGGTATGCAGTTGAAACAATGGGCCAGAGTAGCTTCACAGTTACATGTTCACTAATTCTGAATACAAATAAAACCACACATGTGAAAAAGGAGAAAAGGGATTCTGCTTACACATTAATGATTCATGAAGAGTGGTGCATTTATTTCTAAAATATCCCAAATATTAACTGGGAAAATATTGTTTTAATCTACCATTTGAGCATTCTTTTTTCATATTATTCAACTTAAAAGATATATGTGACATTGTCATCTGGATTGAGGTGGGGAAATGTGACATCCATACAAATTTTTAAGAAGTGTTAAACTGAGTAAGTAGGTGGTATAGATATTAATGTGGCTGGGACCCACATGAATGACTGCACCATTCAAGTCTTGACCTGGAAGTTTGAAAATCACTCTGGGGACATGTGCGTGTGCCCAAAAAGGAAGATGGAAGAGAAGGGATTGCAGTATGGCCATCCCCACTAGGGAATGTTTTCTCTCTCTCTGGTAAATTCATGTGCCCTGTAGACAAAATTGGGGGCGGGGGGAGAAGTAGAAGTGTTAAAACGAAGTGTTGTTTTTAAGAATGACTTGAGTTGAGAAAAGGGAGCAATTAGTCTGTGTTAGAATAGCTAAAAAGAATTTGTAACTCGATTTTGTAAAAACAAATATAGGATCTAAATTTCAAAGTCTCATTTATTATATATGCACTTCAAAAGAAAATACAGCCTTGAATAGCTGAGATTTATGAATGTTTATTTTTACTTTGTTTCATAATTAGTTTGGTAAGAGGCACAAGCGCTTGCCAGAGACAGAGAGACATGGAAAGTGAGAAATCGCCCCTGCCCCCAAGAGAGGGAAATGGACACGACAGTCCCTTTTCTATTTTTCTCTTAAGATTTGAGCACACATAAACGTGCTGGGGTGACTTCCAAGTCGCTGGGTCTGGGACTCAACACTGGCAGTCAGTCATATGGGATCCAGTGTCTTAACCTCTGTGCCATCTGCTGGCCCCCGTACTTTGTTTCTTTCTTTCTTTCTTTTTTTTTTAAATTCTACCTATAAAGGCAAGTGGCTCTGTTACTACATGTATATATAGTTCATATAATTTGTCAGGAAATTTTTGGCTGCTTCTGCCTAACCCTACAAGCCCTCAGTACATAAAGAGAGCAGATGACAGGTTCAAACTTTGACAGAAAAAATGGAAGATGCTGTCACTGACAGAACTATTGCTGGCCTTAAGAAAATGCAGTAAAACTGATAAATTACCTGAGGTATTTCCTCTTTCCTTCTTTTCTTCCTTCCTTCCTTCCTTCCTCTCTCTCATTCATGGAAGAAATTAATAAACTTTAAAAAAAGGATAGAGTTGGTCAAATGTTTCATTAACTATAGCCAAATGAATTTTTTAGAGGTTTTTGCTATAGGGCGCGTGTGCTCGCCAGAAAGACAGAGAGAGACAGAGGGACAGAAAGTGGAAAATCACCCCCAAGGGGGTATGGCCACACTGCAATCCCTTCTCCTCCATTCTCCTCTCGGGATCTTGGGCACGCACGCACACACCCACAGCGTGAGTTTTAAGCCACCGGGTCTGGGACTTGAACCGCAGTCAACTACATGGGAATCCAGTGACATAGCCACTACGCTAACTGCTGGTCCCCCTTTCTTTTCCTTTTTAGTTTGCCAGGGAGGACATATGCTTACCAGACAGACAGAAATAGAGGGAGAAAGTACTTCTCAATGTGGCGTGGTCAAACCACAATCCTTTCTCCTCCATTCTCTCCCAATCTTGTCAGAATTTTGGGTAGGCACACACATGTGCTAAGCCTATATTTCAAGCCACTGGAGGGCTGGGATTCAAACCACTATCAGCCATACGAGATCTGGTTCCTTTAACCACTAGGGTATAGGGTTGGCCTCTGTGCCATATATTTCAAATTCAATGTTGTTGTTTTTTTTTTTGTTTTTTTTTTTCTTTTTTTTTTTTTTACTATAGGGACATTTGCTTGCTAGAGAGAAAGAAAGAGAGAAAAGGAAAATGAGGGACCAGCAGTTAGCGTAATGTCTATGTCGGTAGACTTCCACGTAGTCGACCGCGGTTCACGTCCCAGACCCGGTGGCTTAAAACTCACGCCGGGCACGTGTGTGTGCGTGCCCAAGATCCTGAGAGGAGAATGGAGGAGAAGGGATTGTGGCGTGACCATCCCCCCTGGGGGGCGATTTCTCGCTTTCTGTCTCTCTGTCTCTCTCTGTCTGTCTGGCGAGTGCACGCGCCCTATGGCAAAAACCTCTCCAAAAAAAAAAGGAAAATGAGAAATCACTTCCTGGGGCAGATAGCAACTCTGTAATCCTTTCTCCTCCACATTCCTAGGATTTTGGGCATGCATGCACACATGTACCTGGTATGATTTTAAAGCTGCTGGGTCCAGGACTAGAACCGTAAATCAGCCATGTGGCATCTAGTTGCTTTAACTTTCACACTACCTGCTAGGTTAGCTACATTAAATCTTAATAGTTATTTTTTATAAACTATACTGCCTGAAAGTTCAAAAGATCTGAATGTAGTTGGGGACAAATACTAGTTGACAATTTTCTCCTTTTCCCCTGTGTGTCCAGTATTCAAGGTCTGCCATGTAGGTAAACAAAAAATTTAACTTTTAACTGCCTAACCCGCTGAAATGGTACTATCCAAGGAACAAAAATAGAATTCCCTTATAGCCAACAAGGAGCATATCTTTAGTGAATCCAGATAACTATTATTGTGACAATATACTATTGTCATAATAATAATTATCTTAGTATATTTTGAAATAACAATACTGAATACTAACTTATATACCATCATATAAATAAGGCAAAAAATATTTCTCTTAATTTTAGGAGTATAATTGGGTTTAGTATAGAAAAAAATTTGCATTCTAAAAAGCATTTTATAGAAAAATGGTAACATACCTTGTTTTCAATGACTGCTTCCGTACAAGCTTGGAGCATGCTTAAATGGTGAGCGAATACCAGAAATTTCAGTGAATCATTCTGAAGCATCATCTTAATATAGTCCTTTACAGCACCTGCCTAAATATCAACAGTGAAATCTTATTAGTTATAAAAATGTCTATTAAAAGTCATAGCACTTTTAATATAGCAAGAAAAATGCATTAAAATTAGTAATATCTATTAATTTTTCGCTGCTTTGTTCTTTCGGTAACCTAAGGAAGTAGAAATCCCCCAAGTAAGGGGCATATGGAAGGACAGGGTAAAACAGATGACATTTGGGTGAAAGAATCCCATTCTGATGGCAGTTACATCCTATAAAAGCATAGGGATTAAATGAAAGTTACATTATAAATGCCTAGATCTGCCCCGCCCTCTCAGCCTTCTTATACCCAACATACATCAAAACAGACAAACAGGTTTATTTCCTTCAGGCAAGAGAGCCAAATCATATAAAATAATTCTTAATTGGGGAATCTGACCAGTCAAAGGAAAAAATCCTAAACATACTAATACCAGATCACCCTTTATTGAAAGTTATAATCTATCAGCCATATCCAAGCACAGAGCTGCTAATGGGAATCTAGTGTCTTTCTAAATCACCAGACATTTAAGAAAAAAGGAAAGAAAGAAAGCAACCTTGGGGCCAGCAGGTGACATAGTGGTTAAGGATGCTGGACTCCCACATGGCCAACCGTGGTTCAAGTCCAGGACCTGACAGCTTGCTTTCTCACTTTATCTCTCTCTCTGTCCCTCTCTGGTTAATTTAAAATAAATAAATAAAGTTAAATAATTCTTTTTTAAAAAAGCCACATCATTAAAAAAGAAAGAAAGCAAACAACATGAACAGATCAAGTATGCAGAGAGAAAAACTGTAATAAATTGCATTTATAAAACAACTACAGGGTGGTACAAAAAAGGAATGCTCAGAGGGCAAAAATACCCTCAGGAATTAAAAATACAATAACAGAAATTTAAAATCCACTGGCTATTAAGCTGAAGAAATCTCCCTGAAAGCTGACATAAAATAACAGAGAAAATATAAAATATAAGAAAATTAGGGGCTCAGCCTTCATGGAGCAATCAAACCAGAACTGCAGTGCTGGTGGCCACGTGGCTGGCTATGCGTTCGGATTCCTGGTTGACCTGGAACAGACAAGTGCCTGAACATATGTCTAAGGTCCTGATGAGGTGGAAGGCTAGGAAAAGGGGATCACAGTATGACAAGGCCCATTCAAGGGTGCCCCTCTCTCATGTGTACACATGTGCTCTCATTCATGAATAAAACAAACTTAAAAAAAATTAGGGAATCAGGCCATGAAGGCAATATATAAATAAAAGTCCCAGAAAACAATACAGAGGAAAGAAAAAAATGTTCCATAGACCCTAAGAGCATAAGTTTCCAAAATGGAAAATACTCACTGAGTATTCCTCACAGTGAATTAAAATGGACCTAGAGCAAGGTCCATAATCATAAAATTTTAAAACACTACAGGCAATAAATGATTTCATAAGCTTCTAGAGAGGGGAGGAAAAGATTTCATAGAATCAAAATAGAATAAACATTTTGACTTGCTTTGGATTTCTCAACACCAACACCAGAAATTCTGAGAGAATACGATCTCTAAATTAAGTATATAGTATAATAAAGATATTTTCAAATATGCAAGGGACTCCAATAATTTACCTCCAATGTACCCTTTCTTGGAAGGCTACTGAACAATACGCTCCAATGAACCAAGAGAGTAAAGAAAGAAAGAACAAATATCAAGGAAAGAGGTGGTTCGGCACCATAGAGAAATAAGGAAAAACTCCAGGACGAGAGCTCTGTAACAGTGCACATTGGAGCTGATTAGAACATACCAGGGAATCGTTTTTTAAGTTTTTTAGTTTTTGCTATAGGGTGCGTGTGCTCGCCAGAGACGGATCGAGAGAGGAAAGGCGAGAAATCACCCCCTAGAGGGGATGGCCAAGCCATAATCCCTGCTCCTCCATTATCCCCTCAGGATTTTGGGTATGCACACACATGCACCCAGCATGATTCTCATGCTGGAGGTTCGGGACTCAAACCACGAAGCTGGCCATGTGGGATCCAGTGCCTTAACCTTCATGTCACCTGCTGACTTCCAGGGGATATTTTTTTAAGAAGGTATAATTAACTCAATCTTTAATGTTTTAAAATATCAGGAGAAGATTAACTGCATAAGGGAAACTTCTAGGATGAATCAGTGATGAGTATACAGAAAACTAAGCAAAAAGAGCAGAAGGAAAAAAAAATCCTTGATAATTATTAACTCCAAAGAAAATAAAATTAGTTGAAGAACAAAAAGATATCCTAGTATATCACATGGTTCATCCATAAATGTTGTAAACATGGCTCTATTATAATTATATACAAGGTGAATACTGATGAAGCCAAAAATCAGTGTCAGTTGCTATAAAATCGGTAAAACTGTACCTATCACTTCAGTAGAAGAATGGAAACAGGCAAAAGGCATGCATGTGAGGATGGGGAAGAGAGGGAAAGCTAAAATTTCATCTTCCATGTTGAAAACCCAAATGATGAGAGCTAAAATGACGAAGTAAGCAGTAATGCAAACTAAGAAGTTGTATGGTGTTAGGGACCAGCAGTTAGCATAATGCTATGTCGCTGGAATCCCATGTAGTCAACCGCGGTTCAAGTTCTGGATCCGGTGGCTTAAAACTCACACTGGGCACATGTGCGTGCGTGCCCAAGATCCCGAGAGGAAAATGGAGAAGAAGGAATTGCTGCGTGGCCATCCCCCCTGGGGGGTGATTTCCTGCTTTCTGTCTGTCTCTGTCTGTCTGGTGAGTGCACGAGTCCTGTAGCTAAAATCTCTCTCTCAAAAAAAAAAAAAAGTTGTATGGTGTTGAGAAACTTGAAGTAAACATTAGAAAAATTAGCTAAAAGAATAAAAAGTAGGGAACCAGTAGTTAGCGTAATGGCTATGTCGCTGGACTCCCATGTAGTCGACTGTGGTTCGCGTCCCGGACTTGGTGGCTTAAAACTCACGCTGGGCGCATGTGCATGCATGCCCAAGATCCCAAGAGGAAAATGGAGGAGAAGGGATTGCGGCGTGACCATCCCCCCTGGGGGGGTGATTTCTCGCTTTCTGTCTCTATGTCTCTCTCTGTCTGTCTGGCGAGCATACGCGCCCTATAGCGAAAACCTCTCCAAAAAAAAAAAAAAAAAAATAAAAAGTCCTGCCTTTAGGGAATAAGATTAGGGGACTGCTATTTTTTGAAATGGTCATTTGTGGTCAGTAAACTATTGATATTATGTAGCTTTGATAATAATGAAGATTAAAAATTTGAAAAATGCCTACTTAAAATTTATGCATATGTCCGTAAAGTCACAAGAATTATTCTGTAAGCTATATTTGTGTGTCTAAATTTTCAAAACAACAGAAATTCATCATGCAATGAGACTGGAGGCTGTTAAGAACTTTAGCCTTGGATTTCAGTGCCTCAGAAAGTGGAAATTTAGTCCTTTCAAAACGAGGAGCTATAAATTCTGGATATGTTGTCATGGCAACAGAACCACTTTAATAAAGTGCATGTTTGCTTAAAGAGCTATATTTACTGCGATAAGCCCTTCGAAAAGTACATGTCAGGTTGGAGTATTTTTAAGGTACATTCATTACTATCTAGTCTGAACTTACCAACTACAGAATCACTGTATTCCTTAGTCTCAGATGTATTCCTTCTCCTCATCCCAGAGCTATTTCTGCAGAGACCCTTCCACCGATACTACCCCCTCCCTATCATAACAGAACTGCTGGTGCCAAAACTCAACCCCCCTTTCCCTGCAATCATTGCTTCGGAAAGGCTTATGCTCATTATTAATATCAAATATAATATATAAAGTTCAATTATATAACTGACTAAAAGGCTAAGATTAACCTAGCAACTCAGTCATCAGTTGAAGATGTTGCCTCCCAGGAGAAAATGTGTTTGGAGTACCAAAATACCCATGTTACAAATGAACTTTTACAATTCGCTTAGGTTCTTATGTTGGGGATAGCATAGTTTTGCATTTTAAAGTATATTATACATTTATTTATTTATTTATTTATTTATTTTTGGAGAGGTTTTTGCTATAGGGCATGCTCACCATAAAGACAGAGACAGAAAGACAGAAAGAGAGAAATCGTCCCCCAGGGGGGATGGCCACGCCACAATCCCTTCCCCTCCATTATTCTCTTGGGATCTTGGGCACGCATGCACACATGCCCAGCATGAGTTTAAGCCACTGGGTCTGGGACTCAAACTGCAGTCGACTACGTGGGAGTCCAACGACATAGTCATTATGCCAACTGCTGGTCCCTATACATAAATTTTAATTATCTTTTATTCTAAACCATCAATGCATTGTCAGATTTTAAATTATCTGAACAAGAACTTGTTTGCAAATTATGTTTCTTTTAAAAATGAATATGCAATTTATTTAACATTCAAAATTCATTAAGACATGTGCAATATGGCAATTTTTCTGGGGTTTTAGCCCTACCAAGATAGGACTGCTTGCTGAGGCTTAGCAACAGGGTCCAGTTCACACTTACCACTAATTAAATGTAAATGTTATTGAATAAATAGAATACTAAACACAATGCATTCAAATGCTTTCTTAAAAAAATCAGATTTATTACCCTAAAAAACATCCCTTTACCTCGCAGCTGCCACCTCTCAATGCCCCCATTACTCTCAGCTCTAGGCAACCATCAACCTACTTTCCACCTCTATGAATTTGACTATTTTGGACATTTCCTATAAATAGAATTATACACTATGTGCTTTTGTGACTGATTTCTTTCGTTTAGCGCAGTATTTGCAGTCCTTGTCATAGCATGTATTCATACTTTGTTTTTAATTGCCAAGTAATATTTCATCACATGAATATATGCATTTTATTTATTCATTCACTGGTTGATATCTTCACTCTCTTGTTTCTACAATTATATAGTTTGCTTTTATTGTTTTTCATTCATGTCTTTGTTTTGAGAAGCTGATTTATCTTTTCCCTTTTAAAATGATCTTAAATTTAAAAAAAGGAAGTCCCA